CTATCAGATGAAGCATCTGACTGTGTCAAATCCGAATCTACTTTTGTATTGGAGACATGGAAACGAGCTCTTTTTATTGGGATGTCTTATGATGATCGTAGTATCATTTCATAGACGTCAACGCCTGATAACTGCGGATATAATAACGAATGGATGATCCATCCCCCAAATCGACAATAGGACTAACAGTCTTGTATAACAAACAAATGACTTCAAGCGACACATATCCTTCAACTCTATTGGCTTCTTCTCTATAACTTTACATGCGCTTAAACTTCCTAGGTCGGAAGTCTCCGAATTCCTCCGCAGGCGGTTCTCGGTGATCGTCGTCCCACCCAGGACCATCACCGTGAGGTCCTCCATGCGGTGGCCTTCCACTCGGTGTGCAGCTCGCGCTCGGATGATGGCTGAACGTGGAAGAGCGCCAAGGAAAAGCTCCTGTGGGTTTGGGGCCTCTCGACGGGCATGGAGTCGTGGACGGAGTCACGGATGGTGTGCCTGATGGGATGCAAGAACTTGAAGACGGTGTCCCAGAAGGCTGAATGGCCGCTCTGTCAGTTGGAAGTCAGGCTGAAGGATTGTTCACATTTTGACTTACCGTATGGGAGGAAGGAACGGGAGTAGAAGGCCTTCCAGGTACCCGAGCTAGAGCTGGGTTGACACAGAGAGCCATGACGGCGCTGAGAACGATTGTGGAAGCTTTCATGGTGGCTCAGTAGCACAAGCTATACTTCTTGATCAATGTTTATTGACAGATAGGATGATTTGGGCACGATCCTTCTGTGCACAGCAAGGACTGCTTGGACATTTCGAATGGAACTCCGTTGGGTCTCCAGTGGTATATATTCGTTAGAACTGCCTCTGCTTCTTTATGTCCTCATTTAGCAATTGACACCCATGAAGTTCATCGCCATTCTCTTACCCGAAACAGTGATGACATTATCTCCAATCACTGGGGCGAAGACGGTCAAAGGCAGATCCAACAGCCGTGCAGCAGGTTTATTTAGAAACTCGCGGGATCAACCCGACTTAGTGAAGATACGAGCCGATCCTGAATGTAGTGTTATGTCTAAATAGGATGCCGATTGGTCTTTCATCCCAAATGACAAGGACTAACACGGACGCTGTACGCGACACCTCGGATGAGCACAGCCATCGGCCCCCAACGCTTCAATGAGACACGCCGATCACTCTCAAGGCAGATGTTATACGAGGAACATTACCGCACTCAATGAGAAGCGGGCGTACTGACTCGCTGCTGTTGGGTTGACGAATACCCAGCCAGGTGCAAGCCCTACCTGCCCCATGAGTAGAATGTTGGTTGCTTGCTGTGTAATCTATACGAAACTGGGAATAACAGATTCCCAACCCGGCCACGTCCTGCTTGTGGCAATGCCTGGCCACCTTGACGAATAACCCGATCATATTGTGTTCCTGTGAGAGAAGAATACGGCTCAATCTCGTAAGCTTGCGTGTCCCTTTCCTGTCAATAATTGCTGGAGACAAGCGAATCGACAACGGACAAAAATTTAACAGGATATTGAGCGAAAGGGAGGGACCTCCTGTCCATGGACGAGAATTTGACCATGTACTCGCAGGTTGGCTATCAAGGATGACCAACCCAAGCTTACTAGTAGTCGAAACCTGGTGGCAATCGCAAACAACCCTCAAAGCGAAGGACTCCTCGCGCTGGGGTAAAGGAGCCCTTGATGATCGGCCTGAATATGTCCATTGTCTAGGCACACACAGGAGTCACAAACTGATCAGGAAGAACAAGAACTTGAGACAACGCGTACGGAATGTGTATATACATCTTCGCCTAGGGATACGACAACAGAACGAAAATCTCAACAATTTAGGTAGAACGAGGTATCAATCGTCAATATCAAGAGCATCCGGACAATTCAAATATAAGAACATGTCAACCCCCCAAGAACCCATACCTGCCCAACAACGCCATAAACGGAAATTGGATGACTCTGAGAATTTTTTCGGCGATGATCATCCACGCATTCAAGTGAGCCGAAAAGAAGTAATGGCGCTGCCAATAAAACAAGACATAGGATAGATTTCCGCATGAACAATCGTCAATCATGACCATAGCAGATCGTCAGCGGTTTTCGCGATTCAGATTTTCTCAAATCTGACTGGTGACATCCTCTGCCGCAGGCAAGTCACCTCCAAGCTCCTGCTCCACCTCATCGACGACGAAGCTTTCATAGTCTTCTAGACCCTTCTGAATATGCACCTTGAATCGAATCACGTCGTTCAACATGCTTTCCACATTGGTATGAAGTTCCTCTCGTAACGCATTAGCCCGAAGTGTGAGCTGTTCGTACTCGATGTTGGTGTTCATTTCCCGCTGTTCCATCAACTGCACACTTTCGCTCAAAGTTGCTCGCATCTTGGCCAATTCCTTTTCCATCTTCTCAATTTGAGCGTCTGATGCAAGCTTCTGCGTGGTAGTGATCTCCTTCAATCGCTCAAACTCCTCCTCCGCAGCCCGCCGCTTATGCTCCAGAGCTTCGACCTCGCTCCGCTTCTCATCCATGGCTTCCTTGATGTTGTCTAGCAAATTGCGACGCTCCAAGTCATCATCAATCGCACGTTTCCGGCGCTCATTGATCTCCTTCCGAAGAGCCTGCAAACTACTGCGCACCATACCCCGAAGATCCAAGTTGAGTAGATGCGCCGGGTGATAGCCGGTAAAAGGCTCAGCTAGCAGTCGATCTGCCTCGGAAGAAATCCTGTTCGGCAGACCGCCAATCTGCGACGCGGAGAAGCTATTATCATTGATGTTCAGACTCAGTTCGTAATCCTGACCCTTCGCATTGACGGCAGTGGAAGGAATCAGACTAGTCTGATAGCCGAGTGTGTTGTAGACTTTAACGATTTCCTCCAGATCCTCAAGTTTCCTACTAGCCTCGGATTCCTTTTCCATGACCCTTGCATGCGTCTCTTCTAGCCGGGCAGTAGTATCTTCGAGACTTTTCTGCAATCGATCCCGCTCAGTATTCATGCGATCGATATCCTGAATAGTAATCCCTTGTTGATCGACGCTGGACTGGAGGCTGGATCGCTCCTCTTCGGCTGCCTGAAGCTCCGCCTCAACCTTCTGGATCTCCTCCTCCAAGAACTTGATGCGATTTTCGTACTTCTCGATCTTGCCCTGAACATTTTGGTTGTAGTCCTCAAACTTCCGCTTATCGTCTTCCAAAATTCTGAAATGCTTATCCAATTTGGCCATGTCGGGCGCATTCTTCTCCAACTCTTCAATCTGATCGCGTAGTGCCCGGTTCTCCGCTTCCAAAACTTGCATTTCCTGCACGTACTTCTCGTTCCCCCTCTCAAACTCCTGAGCCATTGATTCGATATGGGGCACAAGTCGTTTCTCAGCGGTCTCATCATCCTCGTCTTCACCTCCCTGCAGCCAGTCGTGGTACGCCCCGGTCAAAAAGCGGAAAATGATGCGGTCCCCGGACACGTCCACACCCATCTCCGCACAGGCCTCATCGTACTCCCCAAGCACGAACCGATCCATCATCTGCGCTAATTGCATCAACCAATGCAGCATACCCAGGAAAGTAGGCCAATTCTGGCCTCCTACTGCAGCGATTTGCGATTTGGTGATACCCTTCTCGAATGGGTAGCGCAGTTGCTTCAAAATCGGCGGAACTTCTGCATCCATGCTCTTCTGAAAGCGATACCCTGGGTCGATTCGATGATACAGAAACTGAAAGATGTAGTTGAAGTCCTTCTGGGTTGGCGATCGAAGTGTGTTCTGACCCAGCGAATGTTTCATCTCCAGCTCAAAATTATTGTGTGTCAGGTATTCGAGGAGCTCCTGCCCAATTCTAGCCTGGAATGATCTATCCCTGAGAGGTCGTGGATCCCGAGGAACACCGGCGGCATTGGGCACTTGGGTGAAGAAGGACTGGTGTCCCATTGGCCCTCCCATGGATGGTCGCGAAAAGACGCTGCTTCTCCTTTGTAGACTCTGCGATGCAGAGCTGGCGGATAGTGAGCCCGGCGCATAGCTTGGGCGACCAACACTGGCACCGTGAAAGATGTTGCTGGATACGGATCGCCTGACCGACGAAAGTCCAGCATCGGCACCAAACGCCCCGCCGGATGAAGAGCGCTGGAAATTCGGTTGTTGAGGGCGACTTGCAGAGTTTAGTAGTGACATCGAGCGCGTGTGTTGTGAGGTAAAGGGAGGATTCTGATACCCAATGGAGCTGGTGCGCTTTAGGGCCGATGAGGGTTGCGGTAGGGCCGAATAGTTTTGTACGCTCCCCAAAGTCTGTATCAAGAAATATGTTAGTTAGTCGTAGTCCGTCGGAGCGCATTGAATCATACGATGTATCAAGGACATCGAGGAACAGGCATGGCTGCGCATACTTCTCGGGGGCGCCTGATACTGAACAATCCCGTATCCTGCGACATTATAAAGGAAGCCGCGACTGCGGCAATGAACTCCTGATTAAAGCGAACGTTCCGATGAGAAATGTCCCCAAACGGCTGAGGGTCCAAGGATACGAAAAAGCCAAGAAAAATAAGTTGTGGATGCAGCGAAATATCACACAGTCGACTTCCCCTCACATAAAATGATAAGGACGGGAATTTGAAGCGTTGCCTACGAAGTCCAAACAGCGACCGAAAGATGTAAACAAGCACATGCCACTTATGTCGCTCAATACAGCAGGCGGTGAACTAGTTCGGAACAACAGTTCTTCCCGCATCGACAATCACGAGATCTGGGGAACCTTCCGCCGGTGGTTGTATCATTGGGCGTAATTACCGTAAGCAGCGCAAGTTCCGAGGTCCAGCTGAACAGTGGAGGCCTCGTCCTGTGCCGATGAGCATCTATCGCCGTGATCATTTCCCACATCCGTCTTCTCTTCTCCAATTCTTCAACTGACTTCTCTTCCCGACCTCTCTACTGTTTGGAATAATTTAAACACGGCTGTCTTGATTGAAGCCGGTTTTAGAATATCATCATGGCTCCTCGCGAGGAGCTTGTCTCCTCTGCTGTATGTACCAGGCCCGAGTGATGATTGCTGCTATCGGAGTCGGAGCTGACCGTTGTTCTTGAATAGGTTTCCTGTGCGTGCGCTAGACTTTGAAGTCATTCCGAATGTGTACGTGAAGCCTAACACTTAAACAGTTCTACAGGATCCTTCTGTGGCTTCGTCGCCCATTGAGAAGAGAGTCGCATTCCTTCAATCAAAAAACCTTACACAGGAAGAGATCGATCTCGCTTTATCCCGCGCCGGTGAAGATCCATCCGTTGCTGCTTCTGCTGTCGCCTCAACGCAAGGCTATCAACCTCCTACTCAAAACGCTGTCTACCGTCCTCCCCCTCCACCACCAGGGTATGGCTACCCGCCTTACGGCCAATGGCAGGCCCCTCCAGAGTAAGTGCATTGCCATCAGCCCATGGTATTCGAACATAGAGCTTGAAATCTAATCTGTGAATTGGTAGACCTCCGAAAAGGGACTGGCGGGATTGGTTTATCATGGCTACAGTAGTCGGAGGTGTGGGATATGGGTTATACACCGTCACAAAGGTTAGTACATCTGGGCCGCAGTCCGCTCGACTTCTCTTGCGATGGTAGTAACAAATGCTTCTCAAGCGGTACATTGCGCCGTTAATCGCCCCTCCTACACCACCCCAATTGGAACAAGACAAGCAGAACATTGATGAGCAGTTTTCTCGCGCTTTTGCTTTAATTGAGCAACTTTCCACAGATACTGCGGCATTGAAGTCAGCTGAAGAAGCGCGCACAGAGCGATTGGACACAGCTCTTCGGGAAGTTGAAACCCTGGTGGCCGATCTGAAGACCGCTTCTCGCCGACGGGATGACGAAACCCGCCGCATCAGCGACGAGGTCAAATCATTGAAGGACGCCATCCCCAAGGCTCTTGAGGGCGCTCGGGAAGGCAACGAAACCCGGTTGAAGGAACTTGGCACTGAATTGAAGAGCCTGAAGACTTTGCTTGGTAACAGACTCAGTGGCAGCGGCGCATCCAGCGCCCCTGTTGCCGGAAGAACTATCAGCGCATCAACTCTGCCCAGCGTCGCTCGGCCCGCGGAGGAGGCGTCGCCGGCTGCCACACCCGCTACTACCAACGGCGTTACAGCGACTCCTACTACACAAGAATCGCAGCCCTCCCCAGCACAGCCAGGCGCCGGCTCGACCACCGGTGCCGCCGCTAGTAGCCCTCTTGCGCAATTTGGCCGAGGCGCCTCCATTCCTGCCTGGCAGATGGCCGCTGCCAACCGGTCGAAGACCGCTAATCAGTCAACGACGACGCCTGCCGGAGAAAGCTCTTCTGACAATACGGAACAACAGAGTGCTCCGGCCAGTTGATCCATTTTATACCGGGATTGTGTATGCGCTGACACTATGAATACCCTTTCATTATTCTTTATATGGTAATAAGAGACACTGCCCTCTATTTCCTGAACGTATTTACAATAAGAGTACTGGATTCTCAGGTAGTACCATGTGCTTATTATCAATGGGGAAACGAAGGGTAACAAGATATTTGCATGTCTTCTTGCTTATATCTCGAAAAATTCCAAGAAACAACCTTTAAGTGTGGAATGGATAGAAGACTCCTAAAAAGAAGATAAGAAGTATTGACGATAATTATGGCTCTGACCTCATGCTCGTGAAATCATGTACTCTTGCCCCAGAAAAGCTTGGCATGTGATCCGCAGCTTCTGGCCGCTTCTCTTCCGACTGTCGCCCGAACTTCATACAGAATGGTTGTCGCTTTCCTTGACAACCCAACTTTGAAAAGGGATACGATCACCACCTGAGAAAATCCACACAATGTCTACCCGCGATCATCGCCATAGGGAAAGATCCCACCGCGATCAGGATTCGCGCTCGCGCTCGCGCTCCCCAGACCGAAGTGACAGACACAAAAGACATCATCACCATCGGCACCGTCATAGTCATCACCGTCACCGAGACTACAGTCATGATCGCGATCGGCATTCGCAATCAGCCTCTTCGGTGCCTGTAGTACTTCCCCTTCGAGCCCGAGAGCTTTCGAAAAGGGATCTGACCCATTACGCACCCATGTTCGCGATGTACCTCGATATCCAGAAGGGACTGATAATGGAAGATTTGAGCGAAGAGGAGATCAAGGGTAGATGGAAGAGCTTTATTCGAAAATGGTAAGGACCCCGTTACCTCGAGCGACTACAGATTCTCTGCAATGTTCCGCAAGTGCAATTGTTCGCTTGCGTGGGTCAGCACGCGATGGACTACATCTTGATAGCCGGAAATCAGAATTAGTGATTGACATTATAGGAACCGTGGAGAGCTCCCCGAAGGGTGGTATGACCCTAGCACACTCGAGAAAGCCCGTCGTAATGCACCAGAACAATCCCCAGTATCCGGCCCTGGACGACGTCGTGATTCACCAGATTATGAACAAGATGGCCGAGGGAAAGATGCCGACACTGGCGCTGCGTCAGAGGCGACATCCTGGCAGAACGAACGGGAATTCGATTCCGAGGACGAGGAAGAGTACGGCCCCATACTTCCTCACCATGAGGTGACAACCAGGGGTCGAGGTGGCCCGTTTGCTGGACCAGCAATCCCGACAATAAAGGACTTAGAGTTACGAAAAGGTGTGTACATCCCGTTACCATTACCTTTCATGAGGCTAACACTCTGTGTTTGGCAGAGTCCGCCGTAGATGATGCCATCGCGGCTCGCCAGGACGCAAGAAAACAGCACCGTGCAGAGACACGTCTCCACAAGTCTGAGATGCGGCAAATAGAGGATGAGATTGCACCGCGCGCGGAACCTGGAACGCATGAAAGGCGCATGGAGAAGCGTCGAGAGGCGGCCCTTGCAAACCGTGCCTTCGCTGAATCACGGCGAGGTGGCTCACCCATAGAGGCAGCACCAGATGACGAACTTATGGGCTCCGGCGAGAACGATCTAGATGCCATAAAGAAGGCACAGGCTAGAGAGCAACGAAAAAAGAACGAGCGTGAAATCAGAAGGGAAGAGATACTGCGAGCTCGAGCAGCGGAGCGCGAAGAGCGACTTCAACAATATCGGAAGAAGGAAGAGGAGACCATTGGATGGCTCAAAACATTGGCTAAACAACGGTTTGGCTGAGCTCTTGCACTGGATGCTTTGATGACGGTTGAGATTGGTGGAGCATGTTCCTCACACACGGAGTCCTGCCATGCGTTTCCATCTTAAGCTTCGAGCGTGCCATGTTCACCTTCGCCCAGCTTATAAGCCGCGGCTTATGTACGTACTATTTCTTGGGAGAAGGCATAGCCGCCGATTAGTCTACATTTGAACGAACCACGAGCTAAACAGCGACGATCCTTAGTATGCCGTATATGACCAGGCCACATCTTCGGTCCCTCGTCATTTGAACGCTCATAGAAATGTTCCATCGATGCCTTACTCTTTGATGGTGAGGACTCCTTTCACGAATAGGCCTTTCCCCTCTAGGAGCGTCACTCGTCATCCTAAAGGGGAAGGCGTCTCTGGCGGAGCTACTTCGCGTGTCCTTCATCGTCCTCGTCATCGTCCTCACCAATCTATATCAGCTCTCATTCGCTTTCCCAGGTCAGGGTTGCTGAAGTACAACCGCTGTCCTACGTTTGTCACATTCAACCTCTCCGCCTGCTCGCCCAGCCCTTCAGTATGGCCTCCTCGATTTATCGCCTCGGAAATCTCAGCCCTCAGGCAGTTGCGGGGACCCTTTGCTCACTACCGTTGGCTGCGGGCATGTTCTACATCCTGTCTGCGAAGACTGGGATCTTCGCCTCCCGTCCTAGAGACTATATGAACGAGACAAGGTGTAGGCTTCTCTATGTATTCACGGAATTCCTCATGGGAGTGATCATCTTGACCTATGTAAGGCAGTCTCTCGGTTCAATCGGAGCTCATCAAGTCTCATTACGGAATACTGACCGTCAGGCCTGGGAATTATCTTGTGTCTCCCTCGTACCTTTCCTGCGAACAGTAATAAACTGGGTCGAAGGCACAGTAAGGACCTTTGTGAACATATTCCTAGAGATACACTACCGGACTAACGCAGATTTCTTATCCTAGGTATATCTGTTAGGCTCAGTGATCTTCTGGTATATCTTACTGTTGGTTTTTTTGAAGCCAATAGGAGTCCTACGCATCTCCCTCGGAGGTTGTTCTCTTCTATACTTGGTCCCGGAGCTGTTTCTGCTTACATCGTCTGTTTATCCCACGCAAGTAGGGAAAATCATGACCATATTTCTTATATCCATTCGTGCGACTCGTTTTGCCAGCCTTGTGCTGCTTCTCTGCGTCGTCGTTGGATCTTGGACGGTACCCTGCCATTGCGAGTTTGATCCAGAAGCGACTGCTTCACTGATCCCCGATGGCCACGTGTATCGTGACGCCGTACATAACAGACAAGGGGAGAGTATCAATTACGGTGCAACTACACAAGAAAGCGATACCTCACAGAATTATCTTCGGTCACGTCAGCCTAGAAGGAGACCACCAATGAGAGCAGTTTCGAGCAGACGATTGCAACCACATTCGGCTCTACAAGGTATTGAAGAGGAGGTCCAAACAGAAGGCACGGACGATATTGTTGGGAATGATCAAGGACAAAGCCTTGGAGATGAAATACCTGCTTTGCGCATTGCCAAGCTGCGTCACAAGGTTACCAATCCCAAAGCCCAGCAGGAGGACCAAGGTGAAATGCAACATATTCAGTTCGTCGATCATTCTTCAGATATCAGTTTGCATGGCAAGAAACCATTCCGAAGGGGTGAGTGGAAGCCTGACGCACCCGAATTCATTCCTATTGCGCAGCAACGCATCGTCATGCAGCAGCTCGACGGAAACAGGGACCAGCAGGTCGAGCGTCAGCAAGACTTGGACCTCAAGGAAACGCAACATCAAGGCTTCGATGAAGAACGAGATTTAGCGCAGACTGTCAACTCACAGATGGCGAAGAGCGCTGTTCCAAGCTTCCCCATTGCCGATGAGAACGAGAGTCCCAGGCCTGCCGCATCAACGAAGCATCGGAACCATGCAGCTGAGGGTGGCAGTAGTCAATCCACGACTGGATCACAACAAGCAAGCGACAGGGTCATTATCGCATACCCGAAGAAAGCACGAAAGAGAGGGAAAAGGTCGAGGAAGGAGGCCATGAGTCGTAGAAAGGGAACGAAAAGTGAGCCTGCAGGCATCGGCTTGACCACTGATATCGATCAGTCCTGATACCAGAGTCTATGCTATTAATACCTGATCCATGTGCTTCTGGTCGAGTGGGGACAGAGCGACAGACTTTACAAAAGACGGAAGCAAGAAAAGATACGGCTAACTTCTGACCGAGATATATAGATTACAAATAACTTTAATCAAGGACGCCGCTTTAGAATTCGTTCCTTCTAAAAATCTCCGTGATCGTGTCCAGACGGATCTATGATGAGATATGACCCGACTTAGATGAAGACGATCTTCGTATGTACTGAGACCCCAAAGCGGTAGCTGCCCTGCTTTAAGCTTTTCTGCCCAGTTCGAGATCGGCAACGAGTCTCAAGTCACTTGTTCCTTTTACTGGTGAATCATCCATACCGAAGAAAGGTTTGACGGCAACCTCAACAGTTTCCTCAAAGAGGCGGCCCACAACGAGGTCCTTCAGCTTTTCTCCAGTCTGACCAAAGTCTGGATAAGCATTCAGTTCCAGCAGCCAGGGCACACCATCCTCGTCGACGAGAAAATCGACGCCGAAGAGCTCAAAGGCGTTTGGCAGGGTCTGGAAATGAACCATCATGCCTCGTGCGGCCGCCTCGAAGACCTCTCCGGTGACGGCGCAAATCTGGTCGAATATCTTCTCTTTCCAGCCGTGGCTCAATCCGGGTACATGGTGATCCAGGTCCCAGAACAGTCGGACGCTTTCTTCGTTGGTGCTGCCGCCTTCTTGGAAACAGGTGTTTGTCAGGTGTCTGGCGAGATCGATGACCTCGTCTTCGTCCTCCCATGGAGGACAGTATGGTTTCGCGGCGAAGAGAGCCAGCATCTCCTTGTAGACGTAGACTTTCAATGAGCCGACAGCAAGCACATAAGTTCGGATGTGGAACTTGCGGTTCGACGAGGAAGGTAGAAGGAGAGGAGGGTCTATGTAGGGTTGGGCGATGAAGTGGCGTAGCTGGGAGGTGACAACGCCTTGTCCATCCCGGTCCTCTGTATCTGGGTTCTCGGGTTCGCTTTCATTATCAGAGTCGTCCTCCTCCCATTCTTCGAATATCTCGCGTAGTTGATCCTCGCTGTTGAAGAGACGGATGCCTTGTCCGCGGTCACTCATTCCTGCTTTCAGAATCCACCATTCCTTTTCTGAATCCGGTTTGCCTTCGTTCCTGTCCAGGCTCTCGCGGAGCTCGTATGCCTCGAGCAGGGCTTCGTCGAGGAACTCGGCGTAGTCTAGCTCGAAGTCGCACGCGAATTTGAAATGGTTCCGTAGTACGCTGTTAGGGTGCTTGGTGACCCAGTTGGCCACTGTGTTGGAGAGGTAGTGCTTGCGAATGAGCGCTTTCCGGATGATATAGGCGTTGACCAGGGAGGTAGTCGAGTTCATCATCGCATGCTCAAAGTCCAGCCGTTCGTATTCGCGATATTGAAAGAGAGGAGCGGAGGGGGAAGGAAGATCGGACAGCTTCGATACGATTTGATACTGTCCTTTGCGAAGGCGACGCTGTAAGGCTTGTTCCATCAGGCTCTGCACGTAAGGATCGTCGCTATCCACGATGGAATAGAATGCAGGTTCATCATTATGTGAGCTACAGAGTCTAGGCTGATTAGAATGCATGTCTTCTAAAATACGACCATGGACCATAAACCAAAGCAAACAGGGAGAACGCTAGAGGGGACCAAAAGACACGGAGGTTAAGATCAGGGTCGTATATCGGACAATGCGACACGCTCATGATCTAGCTGGACCTGTTTAGACGCGGATCCGCTGGTCAAAAGGGTCCACTCACAGATTAATTTCGCCTTGGATACCTGGTGTACGCATGAAAGTGGCCTTGAGAGGGGTAACACTGAACCCAAAGAGTCAGCTACGAGCCAATACAGGATAAAATATGAGACAGGATCGAGAGTACATACCTTGTCATTCCCTCGCGCACAGCGCGACCATCGTTGCCCGGTCCACTCGCCTCTACACTCTTCCACACATCCGTGAAATCAGGATTCCACTGAAAGTGCTTATGCTGGAACCGCATCCTCCTGCGTGGCCCTGCCCCTGGAGCGGCAGTGGGCTTCTCCCCCAGTCGTTCACCCTGGTCCCGCAGCCTCTGCTCCTGTACCTGGGGAGTTTCATCCGGGAGCGCTGCATCAACAGCCTGGAAGCAGCTGCCAGTCCACCTATTGTCAAGCATACTGGTGTATAGCACCTTGCACTTGCTCATTCCCGGCTCCAGAGGTACATTGATGTTATACAGATCCACTCCCTCCGCCCAGTTCTCGCAGAGGTATTCAATCAGCCTCACCGAGTGCTGCGATGCTTCAGCGATCACAACAGGGTCATGGTTGCGCGAGCTAAAGGCATAGGAAAGGGCAATGGCGCGTTTCCCACAGTGCGCAGCCTCCAAAGCTCCTCCGATTGTCCCGCTCGACAAAGCGAATAAAGCAGTCGTATTGCGGCCGTAGTTGGGACCCGACACGACCACGTCGACGGGACCTCGTTCTTGAAAGTAGTGGAAAAGACCGATCTGGACGCAGCTTGCCGGTGTCGAGTCTATGAGAAGCCACTCGTCTCCGTCGTCGTCGTCGTCGGTGCGGGGGAAGTCATGGATGGTGCCATTGTCTTCGTGCAGGATGCCGGGCCGGAAGTAGGTCGGTCTTACAGAGGCACCGATCAAGTGCGCTTTGCCGATCCATGACCGCTGTTGATGAGGGAGGACCACTGATACAACATGGCCGGCGGACTGAAGAGTGTGGACGAGGGAATGGACGTAAGGCGAAGATTTGTTTGATGGAGGACCATCATCGTTGACCACCTATGTTGAGGAGCATGCTATGAGCTGGGCTCCTCCACGTTGAAGAAACCACAAAGTCCAACTTACCAAAATGTGCATTTTGATTAACTGCTGGAGAAGGAGAGTGTTTGGTGGAGGAGCTGGATTGCTCATGGAGGGGCATTTTCTTTATCGAAAGTGGGCCCTTTTACTCCGCATTTTCGGGCAGCCCATACAGTTTGGCATCCGAGGGCCTGTGATAGTGGTCATGGCTTCCTCTGCATCAATGGGATCTTATACTATGCAAATGCTTGAAGACTAAAGAACTTCATGGTTATTACTGGCTTATTACACCGTCCCCATAATAGGGCAAAGTATAGTAAGGGAATTGTTCGACTTCACATTCAGGATCCGCACCACCTGGAGAGATATATGTCACTCGCAATTACTTGGGTATCAAAGACTTGAAGTCATGAAGGTCTCTAGAACCAAACGTAGATCGACCGCGGCGCCTATGAGTGGCTTTCGCTAAATAAACGGCTACGGCGCCGCTGGACGCCCCTCGCCTCTGCGTTCTCTAAGCCAGTCCCTGCGCCACTCTCAGAAGGCCAAACGTCTCTTCTACCACCAGGATCATGGCTTCCATCGTCTGTGTCGCTGGTATAAGAGGGCTGCGTCTCCTCTTCAAAGTCTGCTTCCTTTTTAATCCTACTCGTCGGCTGGTGCTTCGGAGAGTGTGAGTCAGAAGGCGAGTCCAGAGCAGAAATGTCTGCTGCCTCGTCATCATATTCCTCCTTAATTGGAGTCTTCCCGCGAGCCTCTTGCTTGATATTTGTCTGATTCGTTGGCTTCGTGCTCCGTAAAGAAGCCAGGACAATCCACGCAATGCTTGAAGAGACCATGGAGACGCTCCAGAAACCGAAACTGAAGACCAAGAACGATAAGATCCTCCAGTTGTACATGACCCATCTATTGCTTTGTTAGTACAAAAGACGCCCAGAATCCTTGCCGGCAGCTTTGACGTACCTTAGCCCTGTAAACATAGCATGAAATTCCACCTGAGCCGAGTAAACCTGCATCGGCTCCTTACTAATAACCTCAAGGCGTAAACTCGCCGGAAGGTTGCGCCAGCCGCGCGAGAACTCAATCTTCTCAAGCATCGGCACCCGCAGAGTTTCTGCTTCACGCTGCCACCCCAGTACATACAGTGGCATGAAAGAGATCTTGCTGGCGGTATCCACCATAGGCGACGTATAAGTCAGTATAGCCGGGCGTCGCGAGTGCACAATCCGATTCGAGGATGTGTTCTGGCCAGTGGTGGCCGATGTCGAGGGGCGGGAAAAGAGAGACAGGTCTAGCATAAAGTTTCCGGCAGCGAGGTTGGAGGGCGTCCGCGGCATGTCGAGTTTCACGGCGACATCGTATGCTTGCTGAGAGACCAACTCCGACCCAAGGGAGGCGGTACCCCAGGGCTGGTCATCACTAGAGACCGAAATCTCGGTAATCAGCCAACGACCCAACAATATTTTCTGGGGACGATTCCATCCTCCGTCGTTGACCTACCCAAACTGTAGATGCACTTGTCGTGCAAGCCCAATTTGCGGGATGAACCAATAGTAAAATATCCCATATGCAACCGACGAAACAAAGAACATGCATACAGCAGTTATCGCGAACAAGAGAGTTCCCAGATAGGCTTTCTGTGCTTGTTCCGAAACAAGGGCGCGAAAGGGCGCTACCAGCGTGTCCTGGAGGTCATCGGACCGTCAGCTGTGGAATCAGTGAAATGTAGAGCAATGGCTTACCGGAGGCCGAAAGAAAAAGGTATTGCCATCCTCCGCATCCTCATCTGTCGCATAATCAAGCTCCGACATGGTGCGACCAAGCTGGGTGTGGGTTTGAGGTGCAATGGTATCGGGTGATGCGAGTTGTGTTTTCAGAGAGCTCCGACGCTTGCGTCGACGTCACCGAGGTTTGCGCCCCCCACGGACATCAAAGGTCTTTTCTATGTGCCCCAACTAGAAGCAAATGCGCAGCCTTTACGAAGAAGCTATAGTCCATTAACTATTGGTGTATTTCCTTTACATTCACATGTATCAGAACTGAACATGCCATATTTTTGTTCCAATGAGTTGTTCGATATCAATTCATGGCAGCGTTGGCCTATTGGAAGCATGAGCTGTTACTATGAAGCAGAGGTAGACCATTACCCATCCCTTTTTAAAACATATCGTTACAAGCACCGCATTTGCAGTGTAAAATTAACAGAATCATCCAGCAGAATGAAAACAAACCAGTACAAAAGCAAAGCATTTGGTTCCATGTGACTGTATGCTGCGCTGACATGTCGTAGAATGCATAGTTAAACCCCCCAGAAACCCAACCGTAAAAATGATAATGGACACAAACAGTACAAGTTTCAGAATGAAACGAAAACAAAATCCTTAAGAAAACATACACCCCAGTAGAGCACCGAATTTCTAACGTCGTAAGCGGCATTTCGAGTATACCGTGAGAGAAAACGACATCTTCGCCGAATGCAGGTCATCGAAGCATCATCAAATGCCTCATATCAATCAGAGATGGCGAGAGAAGCGATCTCCTTTTCAGAATACCTAAGGCATTGCCCTAGGGCTTTGTTGCTGAATGTGTTGGAGAAGAGCATCGAAGAGACGACCAATCTGTAAATCAATAGTCCGTTAGCTTTACGCACATGGCACTAATCGAACCGAAGAGTGACATACCTCAGGCGCAGCCTGGATGAAAGGAAGGTGGAAGAAAGTGTAGCTTCGGTTCTGGAGCAACTCCTGGAGGGTGATGATCAAACCCCAGGGGTGGGGGCGATGGACGATCAGTCGCTCCAACAAGACTCGGATAATCTGCTGACGGATATCGGATCCATCCTGCTCGGAGTTGTCCACGCCGAAGAGACGAAGAATGGCAAAGCTGAAGAAATAGGTATGGCTATTGGGATAGCGTAATTGGTTCGCCATCGCACTGAGCAAGTAGTAGCGCGCTTCAGGTCGTAGCACCTTGGCGAGGCTCTCCAGAAGCGCCGAATGGGGCGAGCTGTCAAACGCGGCGCGCGTGTTGCCTTTGGATCCACCGGTAGAAACAGCATCCTGACCAATGTATAGAACCAACGCGTTCACTAGGACGACGTTGACATTGATGGGAGTGTAGAAGAGTCCAGTATCCTTGTTCACAGGGTTGTAGATGGCATCGCAAATCTTCTGGATGGACGCCTCTGATTGGTTATTGCTCTGCAGCAAGCTATCGACAACACCTTTGATGTTGGCGCGCTGTAGAGGAGCAGCGATGTCGCCGGCAATCTTGGGAGCTTCACGCATCTCTTCCAGGCGCTCGACTTTCAGACCTTCTCTGAAAGGATCTGGAAGCTTGTGGAAAGACGACGGGTATGCGCTCAGAACAAGATTACGAAGCTGAGCGCAATGGGCGGGAATGACATTGCAGAACTGAAAATGATTTTCCGCAACAAACTCGGGGAAGTCATGGTGCAAGATCAGCAGAATACGAAGCACTCCTTTGTAGAGGTCCTTGGCAACATAAGAAATGTTTGCTGGCTTGAGCTGCTCTCCTATGTAAGAGAGGAGAGCCTGCATTATTTCGCAGTAGGGACCCCAACCAGCACGCTCGGGCATATTCAGCATTCCTGACATGAAGAATCTGTGGGACACCAGCGAGAGCCAGCCGTAGACGAAACCGGGACAGTACTGGGGCTGGAGCGATAGGAACTTGTTGGCAAGGGCAAACATCATTTCCTGATGCTGATCACTCTGCTGAAGTCCGTTCAGAGAATACTCGCACAGGATACTTGAGAGAAGTCTGAAAAATACGCGCTGGTTGAAAGCCTCTCCGCGGATAACGTGGTGATGATTCAACACTAGCACGAGCATCGACAGAACCGAGTTGAAGTACACAGATTTGCTGGTCTTGGCCGAGCCTGTGCTCTCTCCTTGAAATTTGACTAGCAGAATGACCAATTTCGCAAGCGCATCAATATAGAGGAAAGCCTCATCAAGGCTACCGTTAGGATTCTGCGATTCATGCTCGAACATCGCGACGGAGATGTCAATGCTGAGCCGGAAGAACAAAGCAGAGTCCTCTTGATTATCCATGACTTGCCTCTCGTGCAGGTCCTTAAGGAAGGAATGATAGGTACGGTCGGTGGCGCCGGGGGCCTTGTAAATACCAATCCACTCGCTGAAGATGTACTCCATCTGATCCCGCTTTGCTCGCGCTTTGTCGCTGAGAAGAGGGTTGACGACTTCAGGGATACCGGACTCGCGTAGTTTGCGGATAATTTCATTTGCAGGAGCAAGATTTGCGTCTTCTGCAAGCCATTGGCTCATCGCTTCGAGACTGCCAGAGAAATCAGACCGTAATGCGGAGGGCTCTTCGTTGAAGAGCACTCGGTCCATCAGATTGGCCAGTATTTCGAGTGCACCCGTGTTCTTCTGGCAGATAAGCCTGGTGAGACTCATATCAACGCGGCGAATGTCCAGCAGTCCAGCGTCTATGAGTGCCACTGTGACTGGGACATTGAATATATGCTCGTCATCTACTTCCGACAAGACAACCCAGGTATATCTTGCGACGAGTGAGGACATATCGCACAACTTCGCAAGCAAATGCACGAGTACCTCGATCTCAAGGTTACTCGGTGTCTGGGAATACAAGGTCGTGCAGATCTTCAGAGATGTTAATCTTGCCAGCTCTTCGCCGCTTGGAGACGTAAGGATAGTACGCAAAGCCTGGTTGTACTCCTGCAACACAGCACTATCTCTGCCAAGGTCCTTCACGCGCTCCTCGGGTGCATTGCGAGCCGCTTGCTGTAGATCAGAAACGATGCTGTCGACTTTGTCACGAGGTGTTGGCGCCTCCAGAAAGCCATTCAGTTGCGGTTGTGCGCCAACGAGCCCGGTTTGCTGCAGACGCGTGTCTTGCTGAGCCTGTGGAGTTCTATGAGGTACAGCTGGCTGTTCCGCAGGCGTAGAGAGGTTAGGAATCTGCGCATACGAATCCTGGAGAACATCTGCCAGTTGTCGACCGGAATCAGTCGATACGTTCTGAACGTGAGTTGCTGCTGGACCACGAGA